GGGGGGGGGGGGGGGGGGGGGGGGGTCGGGTTGTTTAATGGTCAAGGTTAAAGTTTTGTCGGGCTGTTCCGGGTAGTATTACAAAGGTACGGGTGTCTTCTTGCGACGCCCGTTGGTTGGTTTCAAAGCGCAAATCTGCACTGGGGGCTGTCTCCCTGTGCCCCCACCAGATAGACTACCTCCTGCGTAGTACCGATCGCTTGGTTGGGTTGAATTGAGGAGCGTATGTGCAGTGGGCTGCCGTAGAGAGATTTGGCGGGGCCGGGAATGGAATGGCCATCTTCGTCCTGCGCCACTTGCACGCGATGTATCTAAGGTAGATTCTCAAACCCATGGTTTTGGTTTTGTCTATGTTGTCGACGAGACTAGGCTATTAGTACTGTAATGTGCCGGTGAAATCGGTGTCATGTTTAACGCAGGAGGAAAAAACAAGGGGTGCGCATTGAAAGTGTTTTGCGTGGCACAGGACTGGATCTATATCTCCCGTTTGGGGTCCGCTTCTTTTTTTTTCCCCATGAGGGGATCAGGGCACGCGAAAGGTGATGGTTCGGTGTTGCCAACTCTCACCCCCGTTCCCTCCTCCCCCCATAAAGTAGTTGTGAGGGTCGACAAAGGTAACTGTTTCTGCTCGCCACGCTTTTATTTTTTTCACGTCGGTCGAGATACAGTATGTCCACAATCGATTGGTCTTATTGTTTGGCTTCAGGTGCGGGTTGAGCTAGCTCAAAAGGGACAACACCTGGTTGCCTAACTGCTCCCTCTCTTGCATGGCACCGAGAGGAAGACACATTGATTGGTGGAAAAACGATGCCGAGATAGCGCACGAAACATGGCATATTGCGGGCCTTGCCACCCACGATGCAATGTCTGTTTGGGAGCGAGCTACACCAGCAGTACATACAGTAGTAGTGGTCCCGGTATGATGCCGGTGCGATCCAGCCGATTTCACCGGCATCTACCGGGCAACCGGCATTATTGACCGGCCTTGTACCGAGACCAAAGACTGCTGTAGTGAAGTATTTTTTAGAGGGAGAAGCCTAGCATAGGCGACCCCGATGGAGAAAGTGCCTGTGGGGTACGCAAGGACGCAGTTTTCATGGAAAAACGGGGTCTCACCGTGCGAGGTACGTCATGACAAGAGAGAGGCAGAGACGTTGCGATCAGGCGATGCATCAAACAAACGTGATCGGTCTTCTTACAGACGAGAGCTGACTTGTATCTGTCGCGGAGGAATTATTAATTGTTCGGTCAAGTGTCTTCATGTTTTGCTCACGCACGCGTGTATGTGTAGCTTTCATTCGGTCTGGATGAAACGACGTTCTTCACCAAGAGGCACGGAGAAAACAAAGTAGTGGTTGGTTGGTGCCTCCGTCCATTTCCGAAAGAGCAGGACGGAAAGAAGAAGCGTTCGTACTCTACTGCCTGTGGAGACGTCCAATTGCCGTCCAAACTCTAAGAGGAAACACATTATTTTTTGTGGATCTTTCTGTGGACGCACAGGCTGCTCAATATATCACGGGCCTCTACAGACTAAATGCAACATTTTTTACTCGATCGAGTACTCACTTAGGATTAGTTTGTTTAGGGGGGGGTCAGAGAAAGAAAATACTAATACTGGTACATACACGACGAGAAAACCTCTAGTCTACGCTCCGAGTTATATGAAGCCATGTACACACCGCTATATTACCGGAAGAGTCGGAGAGATGGCACCCCCGTGTAAAACGTTTTTTTGTAGCGTATTCCACAACAACCAGGGGGATACCAGTGGCGAAAAGGGTAGTTTTGGAAACATCTCGTCGAGGGCTTTCCTGAGAGGTATCTGTTGGTGTTCGCACATTCCTACTTGTGGAGAAATAGGCTAACGAAAACGCTAACACGGGGGTGCCATCTCTCCTACTCTTGCGGTACTAATTTAATGAATTATCCAAGGTTTATAACGCGGAAACAAACGAGACAACACCGGATGAAGGCGACCACCAACATCAGCACTGCGTTTTTTATTTGCGCTGTTCTCCGTATATGTCCCTAACTACGACCCTACATACACCACCACATCATTCGTAAACTTGTTCCCCGAGTCTCATCTCTCGTCGTGGTCGGTTTCCGTGGTGCTTGGTTGTTATTTGTCTACATGTAGTGCGTACACTACATGCTGTATCCAAATAGTGATGATGATGCCAACTTTAACAGACAAAGCCCCGGCATACCGGCCGCTTTTACTACACGTGATGTCTGCTGGTCTGTGTGGGTGCTATCATACGTACGTGCTTCGTTCATCTTGGCGCATGAGCCGCCGCGCCGTCCGCCGGCTGACTCAACCAGAAGAAGAGGCGTCTCGCTGGACATCGACCACCGTGCGATTTTTCTGGTGGTACGAGAGCAACCGGAACAAAATACCATAGAGATTGCTGGAGGGGAGAAAGTGGCTGGTGGAGATTTGTAGGGTGTGCGCGGTACGCCAAACCCTCAGCGGGGCTGCGCACCTAGACCCACCCCTGTCGTTCTTTGCTCTGGGGCCGCGAGGTTGCCATCTTGTTGCATACCGTATATGACACAAGATAACACACCCCCTGGGCCGATTTTCAAAGCTCGATTTCTCAACAGCAGGAAGAGTCACAGCGCCGAAAACGGCGGCGTTGGAACCGTCTCGTCGAGAGGTTTTTGAAAATTTATTGTTTCGTTTATGAATCCTCTTCGTCGTGGAGTAATTGAGCTTTGAAAATCGGTCCAGGGGGTGTGTTATCTTGTGTCATATACGGTATGCATCTAGAGCTGCAAAAATAAATAATAAGCTGAGTTTCCCATTTTTCCACGTGGTGATCAAAGCTAGACTAATAATAACGACCGTAGCAGACTAGATATGCACATCATGTTGGGAAGGCCGATGATATTGTTGTTGTTCACTCATTTCCCTGGAGCGTGGAGCTTGAAATACGTATGAACGCATCCATACTGCTGTACGTCAAGCTGTCCTGTGCGGGTCCTGCCCCTTTGCGTGCTGAGCTGCTCATAGGGTGTGGTGACCCACCGCCCGGAAGGAAAGATCGGCGGATCAATCCAAGTTTTTTTTTTTTTCTGTTGAATCTTCGACAGCGTATGCATGCATTTCTGTTTTCATCAGCAGCCGGTGTGTGTGTGTGTGCCGGGTGTGCCCCTGTTGCCAGCCAACGTAGCTTCCCCCGCTTGGCTCTTCGTCCCACCACCACCACCACCACCACCACCACGCTGTCTCTTTTTTCTACACCACGCCTCCAGGTGTGCGGACACCAGCGCCAGTGACTGCACCCCGCTTGGCTGGAGGAAAGAGGAGATCGGGCACCCACCCATACCCATCATCACGTCCACTGCCCGACCGTTCAACGACTAGTCTCACGTATGCTCGTCAGTGTGGAGGCGTTTCAGCGTGATGAAGATGATGCTGGGTTTGGCGGCGGTGGCGTCCGGGCTCGTTACTTGCCGCTGCAGCGGGGCCGACGCTGACTTCGACCTGCTCCGAAAACGAAAGAACCCGGACATGGATGCTAGGGGGTGGCACGAGGTGAGACAGAGACGCAGGGAGGGGAAAAAAGACGGAATGATGATCATCATCAGTTTGTTGGTTGAGCCGATTGCTTGGTGAGGCGTTAGAGCGTGAGATCGGATCCTGGGTGACCCTGTAATCGTGAGACCAAAGCGCAGCACGCTGTTGCTCACCGTGGCGTGTTATTGTCGTGCGAGAGGGGAAGAAGATGGTTGATCAAAATGCCCAGGGACTCCGGGATCGTGAGAGGGAACTACTTTGTAGCATGAAGACGTGATGATTGCTGTGTGCAACATCTCCCTTTTGGAGAACATATTTCTGTGGGGTCAGCTGACGCCCCGTTTGGTCCTTCCAGGGAGGATTGCGCCACGGACAAGCACGCAATGTACGCACAGCAAGCATCACCTCGTGGCAGGCTTTATTCATTCCCGTTCGTCCGTTCTTCCTTTATGCATACAACATCAGACCGGCATGGTTGCATACATACTGGACAGCATTAGTCCACGTGTACTTGCACACACAGACTGCTGTGTATGCCGCAACCAATGCAGCATCTATCTCTCTTCTTGGTTACTTCTCATTCGAAAAGAATGAATGAGGTCGAGGTGGAACCTCACAGCTCTGTACCTAGAACGACGGACGCCCTCCCTCGATGCATCTCCACCAGCACCCATCGCATCTATGTATGTATGCATACACGATTCTATCGGTGGAGCTGCTGTACATCTATGTATGCATATCATACTTTTAACTACACAATGGCATCGGCATTTTATAGTTTATTTCCTCATCTCCGACACATACTGCTGTATTATGAAGAAGTTGCCGAACTCTCGCGAAGATGGTCGTTCAGCACGCAACCAGCGCATCCCCGCCAACTAGGAGTCATGCGAGCGTGAGTGCGACATATGAACGAGGACATTTTGACTGCTGCTGCTGTGTATTATATGTATGTAGGGACAGCAGATAGATCCAGATCCGTTGTACTTCCTTCTACACAGTATATATGCCTCGTCATCCCCCTGTTCTACTTGTAGTGTCTAGAATAATAGAACGGAACAACCACTGCTGTATGTATGTTCCCTACAAATATAGACTACAATACCCCATACATATATATTTTTTCCCACGCTGTAGTCTAGACTATGCATATCAGCAGTAGGACTTCCGCGTGCAGGGCGTACTCTCACAATACACATCATGTACACCGTAGTCGTTCTGTTGTGTGGTGATGCTCTATCAAGGTATGCGCCGTCGGTGTCGGGATATAGTAGGGTAGGAAGAGAAAGGGGACAGAATTAAATAATTAATTAATTAATTAATTAATTATCCAGGGATATGTTGCGGGGCCTCGAAGAGAAGAAATTGAAGAGCGAGAGATTTTGGGGACGCAGGTTCCGTGTCGCGAGTTATCGACGTCGATGCCATTCCGTCAATTCCGTCACGCAAGGATCCCAAAACCCAGATCGAGGGAGGAAGTTGGCACAAAAAATCCAAATGGGTGACCTGGTGACGGAACGCGGCAAATCATCATCGCGGATGACGAATATCCATCCGGAAGGAAGACGGAACACAACCGCGATAAACGGATGTTAACCCCTAATTCTTAATATGCACGGGACACAAAATAGCGACGGGAGACCTAAAATAGGGCAGAATGGTACCACCATGGATGACAGCTACACTGGCCAAAGTACGGGAAACCGTAAAAAATAATCCGCTATGAGAAAGACAAAAACACGGTCAAACTACAGCACGAATGAATGCAATAATACCCTCTAGACTTGCACAGGAAACGATATGAAAAGTTGAGTACCAATGCAGGACTATACAAATAACATGACAAACACACGACGAATATGAGGACGACTCGAAATTAGACTGCCAAACCATACCCTAAACACGGGAAATGAGGACACAGGCTTCCCTCGTTGGGGGGGGAGGCCCAGGTCGCAGTAGTCTTTTCCCACTACTAAGGGCTGGCAGTTCTCTTCGTCGAGATTTAGAGAGGAGAGGGTCTCAGAAGAGAGAGACAAGAGAGAGTGCGCCGCCGAAGGGGCAAGGGAGACCAAGCCCGAGGGTCTCGGATTCCCAAGCTCCACAGGTGGCGCCAAGAGGGACGCATCCACAGTCGGGTCTCTTGCTGATCAACCATCAGTAAGATCCTCCGTTCGGATCGTATCTTGGTCCTACTTTTGTATGTGCAACAACAATGGTTACAGCACTTCTACACCTGTCATCCACATCACCCCCCCCTTTATGCGCCACAAATTCATCTTTGCTAAGGATGTATTTTGGCGTTTCTAGAGGCCTTGGACGATATACATGGAAACAGGTGTTGGAAGTTTTGTCATACTGTGTTGCAACATCCTCAACCGTGTCTGAGTCAGATTTTCCGTGTTGAGCAAACACGAGTTCGTCAAGCTCAGTTGAAGATGTGGTCCATAGCAAAAGTACAGAAATCAAACTAAAAATAAAAGATGCTTTATCTCCTGCATGATTCTGACAGAAGAGAATTTCTTCCATTCAGATATATTCTAGGGTGGCCATACCCAGATTTTGTCTA